GCTAAAATCCCGCCTGGTCGACCAGCTAAAACCAGCCAACCAGCCTAGGCTGGTTTAAGCTGGATTTTTCAGCAGGGAAGCCAAAGGAAAATTAATCAATGATAATCTCATTCACATTCATGACTTGAGTAACTTCAGCGTCAACTCTTGACTGGGGGCGTGTCAGAAGTTGGGGCTGACACGATCCTCACAGCAGCGTCAGCCAATAAAATTAGTCCAGAATCGATTACCGTCTGAGCTGGTGTATTTGGATAAAGCGACCTGATTGGCTGACGCGTCCATTGGTGTTTAAAAAGTTGAGAAATTCCTAACTTCCCCACTGAAGCGGTGCCGACGGATCCACAATGCAGTTTGGCAACGCCTGACGTCACCCTTTCAAAGTGAACAGAAAGCGCTGGCGCTGACGCCCCGTGTGAATCAGGCGTCATGTTATGATCATAAAGGTGTGATGACATTATTTCACGTCTTATGATAAACCCGTCTTCATAAAGTGTTACCAAAAGTTTTGTTTACAGTATATATATATTTAAAAACACATAGCACGATAATAACTTGAGGGAAAAACCCTTTCACACGAAATGTGTGTTCATGCCCGGGACCCCACAGGCTGATTGAGCTTTATGGTGGCGTATGAATCAGAGCTGGGCATTCTCTGATTATGAGCTCAGGATGAATGAGTCAGAGTTTGGGCGAGAGAGAAGCGGGTGATGCTGGAGAGAAACAGAGAGAGAGAGTCGCCTGAGAAAGTGCCATTTGGAGAGAGCAGCAAATTTACAAGCTTAATAGCATTTATAAACACGCCACTCATGGAGAGGAAGCCTCCGCTTTAATCACACAACGGCACGTAATCAGGCAGAGCGTCACGTGTCAAAATTACAGCAGTATCCACATGCGTTTCTGCTTTATATGAGCAGCTCGGATCAATCCTGGCTTTTATATACACGTTATGTTCATTCATTTTCCTTCAGCTTAGTCCCTTAACTATAAACCGCCAACTATTCCAGCATATGCTTCACGCAGCGGATGCCCTCATAGCTGTTACCCAGTACTCAGAAACAGCCATACACTCTCACAATCACACACACTCACACACTATGGCAAATTTAGTTTATTCAAGTCACCTTTAGCACACGTGTTTGGTCTGTGGGGGACATCTGGGTCTGTGTTTTCATCTGGATGCGGGCATTTTTTGAAACAATATATCTATGGGCTCAAAACGTTAAGAATTCGCGAAAGAAAAATCCCACAATTGTTGTTGTCTAAACGTACAATTATACTACAGGTTAGAAATAAATACCAATCAAAAGCCTAATGAGGATACAAAAAGTCAACCCAGGCTCATTCTGAAAATCTATCCCTATATACATTTCTGGAGAGCGCCAAATACATCCCAGGAGGTAGGTTTTTTTTTTACAGTTTTTGTTTTCGTGAATCCACCAGAGGTCGCTGTGTCCGTTTTTTCAGATCTCAAATTTCTCTCGCAAGTGCTATTTGTGCCTGCTGTTCTCACATAAATCCACCAGAGGCCGCTGTCTTGCCCAGAGCCCTCCTCTTTCCATAAACCAAACCAATAGGGTTTTAAAAGCACCGACTGACCTGCCCACCTACTTCCCTAAACCCAACCAACAGTGCTTTGAAAAGCAGTCCAGAAAAAGAAAAACCCTCGCCTAATTTTTACCACATTTTCAGATTTGACCGCATTTTAGCCCCGATTTTGGCTCGCCAACAGGTTTTGAGAAATCACCGACAAATGCCTGAAATCACAGGCAAATCGGTGCTCGTGCACGTGAG